CGCTCTTACTCCTTCGTTTACACACGCGACTATCTACTTCACGTCTTTTCATGTTTTTTCAATCTACTTTTATCACTTTTTTCCCTTTTGTCCTGTTGGTTTTTGAAATTTGAATTTCGCGCCAAAATTTGAATTTCGCGCTAAAATTTATTTTTAAAATTTTAATTTTTAAAAAATTCAATTGTGTTTGTGACATGTGGGATTTATTTTTATGAAGTTTAAAAGTACTTAGGTGTCTATTTGTGCTTTTCACCTATTAGTTTTTGGAGTTTTATGCCCAGGAAATTAAAATTCAAGACCTGGAGTGTTTTTTAAGCGTAGAAAGTGCTTAAATATAATTTTAAAAATTATATTAATTATACATATACTTATAATAATAATAATAATAGTGTACACAGATAGTTGTTATGTTTGTTGTTATATTATTGTATGTAAGTGCCTGAAATATTACTTGATGGATATTGCAGTTAAACGGCCTTGTTATCTTCTCGTCTAGGTGAGTTGTGTTTCCAATAAAAAGACCCACAATGATAGCTATTGCAATAGTAATAGTTACTATAATAATGATAATAATAATTATAATGATGATAATAAAGTAGTCGCGGTTCAAACGGAGCGCGAAATCAACGAAGAAAAGTTTCCTTTTTATTTCGGCAAAAACCCCGAGATAAAATGATACTGCTGCTGCTGCTGTTGCTGGAGACGACGATTATTTTTCATTAAGAAATTACCGGGAAGATAAGACTGAATTATGAGTAATTGGAGTGTTGCGAAAGTTTTGTAAAGGCAGTGCTTTTTTTAGTTTTGGTTACTTTTTTTTCGACGATTTTACGTTTGAGTGAATAATTATTTTTTTTGGAGTAAAGTTTAAGTTATTAATAATCTTTTTTAGGAAAAAAGATTATTTTTTTTTTAGGGAATTTGAAATTTAGAGAAAAGTTTATTAATTTGAGGTAAAAATAAATGAAAGTATTCTTAGTTCTCATAAAAGTTTAATTTTTTTAAGTTTTGGAGTAGAAAATTTTTAATTAAAAATTAGTCAGTTGGAATTAATATTTAAGAAGATAAATAAATTGGTAAAATGTTAGAGAATTTATCTGAAATTTAAAAAATAAAAAAATTTTGATAAGTTCAGTATAAATTCTATTTTTTATATGAAAATTTTTATTTTAAATAAAAAGAATTTAGTGTAAAAATTTAGAAGAAAAAAACATAAGTAGAAAAATATTTTAATAATGGCATTAAAAAATTAAATATTTAAAAATTTCTTATAAAAGTTAAATTTTTTAATTTTTAGATTAGAAAATTTTTATTTAAAATTAGTCAATTGGAATTGATATTTAAGAAGATAAATAAATTGGTAAAATGTCATAGAATTTATGTGAAATTAAAGAAATAAAAGAACGTTGATAAATTCCATTTATCACATAGAAACTTTTATTTTAAATAATAAAAATTTAGAAGAAAAATATTTTAATAATGTCATTAAAAAATTAAATATTTAAAAATTTCTTATAAAAGTTAAATTTTTTAGTTTTTAGATTAGAAAATTTTTTATTAAAAATTAGTCAATTGAAATTGATATTTAAAAAAATACATAAATTGGTAAAATGTCATAGAATTTATGTAAAATTAAAGAAATAAAAAAATGTTGATAAATTCCAATTTTTATTATAAATAAAAAAAAATTAGTGGAAAAATTTATAAGAAAAAAATGCGTAAAAAAATATTTTAATAATGTCATTAAAAAATAGTTAGAAAGCAAGTAAATTTTTCCAAAAATATAAAAATTTATTTTGTAACCCAAAAATCGTGTTAAAAATAAAAGACATCAATCAATTTTAATTACCAAATAAAACCCGTTTCTAAAAAGAAGCCTTGAAAAAATCTAAAAAATACACATTAAAGAAAAAAAAAGTCTTAACATAAATTTTGACATTATTTGTTTGTTTAAAATTAAAAATTTTCAGATGTCTGTTATATTATAGCCATGGATAAAAAGACGTGGAACTTGTGTAAGATCAAAGGATTTAAAGTGAAAGATGAGAAGAAATAACAACCGTATTATGGGTAGAGAAATTTTAAGTAAATAAATATATAATGAGAATAAAAAGACAATTTAGTGGAGTTTTGAGCGAAGGACAACGTGTTCCGTTGCCAGAAGTAGGTATAGGGTGTAGGGCGCAAAGGTGAAGACGGGATTGGGATCAGAGGCTGGAAATTGGCCCCAGGTTTGTTCATTCAGTGAATAGGAGTCCAATATAGTATCCTATATCGTATATCTTATATCTGGGCGTCGTGGTATCGTAATCGGGATTCGGGACCGCATCAGAACTCGAGTGTCGTGGATATAGAGAGTGTAACACGATCCGGGAAAAATAGCTGTCCGCAAGAAGTATATATATATATGTTGAGAGTTAGAGTGTCGCGCAGGAAGTTGAACGACGCACGTGATGTGAATGAAGACTCTGATTTATATATAAACACAGAATACACACATTCAGTGTATTATATGGCACTTTACGTATTTATAGCCTTTTTATTGTCGTAAAAAATGTATTGCCGTCGCCCATACATAATTCGAGGCGAGTTAATATAAGCGGTACGTTACAATACGAGTACGTGTAAGAGTTACTCTAAGTACTAAGTACCTTGATAAGTTAGAAGAAGCACTGAGAAGTTCAGAGAAATGGCTGCTGAAGTTTGCGGACACTTTTAATTTTTTTATTAGCTGTAGAGAGAATTTTTGGGGATTGATCTTTTAGCTTTAAATTATAGAACTTACACTGAAGAAAAAAATTCTTGATTAGAGGGTAAATTTTCTTGGCTCAAGAAAATATTAAAAAAAATTGAAAATTTCTAAAATTAACTCATAGTTTCTTGAGAAAATTTCTTGCTCCAAAATAACTTTTGTCTTAAAATTTTCTTTGTTTTTTCTGGGTAGAAATTTTAGCGTCAGGTTTGAATATTTTTTAATTTAAAAATTGTTAACAGAGAAATTATCTTAGGTGGAGAATTTATTGAAGCTAAGAAAATTCTTTTAATTAGTTTTGACAATTTTAGATAAAAAATTTATTTAAAAATAGATTTTTTTGGAGGGCTTAAATTGAATTGAATTGAATTGAATTTATTGATTTATGCCAAAGCCTTCACTGGCCAGATGGCAATAGAAAAATATACATTTTATGAATACAATACATTTTTAAATTTTTTGATTTAAACATAATAATTATAACTTATATATAATTATACATAATAAGATATTAGAAGAAGTAATATTGCTTATATACTAATATTGAAGAAACAATTTAAGTGAAAATGAAAACTAATAGATTACAATATTTATGATTATGATTTTAAAGATTTTAATTTATTTTTAATTTTAATTTGTAGGAGCTATAGTTTGAAAAATAAAAATTTTCATTGTTAATCCCCTCATCCCCACAACCCTCTTTAGGAGAATAATTTCTTAAAATCCGTTCTTAGCTGACCTCTACATGGCAAAACTAATATTCTTACCAAATTTCAAGTTTCTAGGTCTGATGGTTCCCGAGATATCGTGATAAGTGACTATATAGATAGAAATTTCTTATAATAATTTAGATTATTAATTACAACTTTATATTTTTAATTATTTTAATAAAAAAAGAATACATATGAATTTAGCAAAATATAGAGCTTTAGTTTCTAAGAGATGTATCGCCTGAAAAATTTATGATATAAAGAATTTCCATTGTAATCGATTGTTTCCGAAGAGATTTTCAAAAGAGAGATTTTTTAAATTAATTTGTTTTTATTGTAGAGTTTTATACTGAGAGTTTTTTAAAATAAAGATTTCTTCGGAGGGATTATAAAATGTTTTTTTTTTTTGGTTTTGAAAAAGAACTCTATTTTATAAATATTCTTTTATACATTTTTAAATAATAATATCCTTATAAAGACTCAAGTATTCGCTAATATAATTTTTAATTATTGTATTGTCATCATACTTATGATCCTCTTTACAAAAAAGGGATTATAAAATGTAGAAAAATTCTCTGTTAAGATGCTTCCCACCCGTTACTTTTTTACCAAATTAGTTATTTGAAAAAATAATTATAAAAAATTTTGATTTATAATAAATTAAAACCATAATTTATAATTTTTGAAAAAAAATTCAAA